CGCTACGATAAAGAGTGGATCCATAGCGATTGCAGCATCAACACTTGACTCTTTGCTTGATCTAATGGCGGGAGGAATACTTTGGTTCACTCATTTGTCAATGAAGAGCATAAATATCTACAAATACCCCATTGGAAAGCTTAGGGTACAACCCGTTGGAATCATCATTTTCGCCGCGGTTATGGCCACTCTTGGTATACAAATTTATCATTTTTCCGAAATTTTATACAACTTAATACTATACTCCCTCAGTTTCAAAATATAAGATGGTTTGGAGGTTTTTTATTTAAAAGTATAAGATGTTTTCACAATCTTAAGTACTTTTTATTTTACTAGAATATTGTGCGACCAATAGTATTCTGTAGTTTTTTTTATAACTGATTAAATTAATTTTATTTGATATATTAAATGATACTTTTTTAATGAAAAGTAATTTTTTAATCTATACGCTTTTAGTCAAAACATTTTATATTTTGAAAATGAAAATGAGAGAGTATGTATATAATAAGTGCATAAAAATGTAATGCTAAATTAACGATAAGCATGTGTGTTGCAGGGTTCCAAGTGCTACTTGTGGCAGCTGAACAATTGATATCCAACGAACCTTCGGAGAAAATGAATCATAAAGAATTGGTTTGGCTATATTCAATAATGCTAAGCGCGACCGCTATTAAACTCGTCTTATGGATATACTGCAGAAGCTCGAGAAGTCAAATCGTTCGTGCATATGCAAAGGTAATACAAATACATATAAATTTTTATAACACTGTAAAAATAGGGACTAATTGATGATGTTTGATATAGGATCATCACTTTGATGTGGTGACAAACGTTCTTGGACTGGTCGCGGCCGTTCTTGGGAACGCCTTCTATTGGTGGATCGATCCAGCTGGTGCTATTCTCTTAGCCATCTACACTATTACCAATTGGTCCGGGACCGTTATGGAAAATGCAGGTAGTTTTGCATTTGATCGTCGTATTGTTAAATTTAGTAACATAAATTGAGATTTTCACTATGATTTTTTTGGGGTACATTATAGTCTCATTGATCGGACAATCAGCTCCTCCAGAAGTACTGCAAAAACTGACGTATCTAGTGTTGCGACAAGGCGCGGATAATATCAAACATGTTGATACTGTCCGGGCCTATACCTTTGGTGTTCTTTACTTTGTTGAGGTCGGTATATATATTAATGTCTCGACCATTGCTTAATCCGTCACAAGACATTTTTGGATAATGTTATTAAAAACCTACATATAAATAATGGAGATTAAAGATAAATTTGTACTAGATGCTTACACTTGACCACTGCATTATACGATCTGGTTTACTAACTATATGGTTTGGTATATGTTGGTAGGTGGATATAGAACTCCCAGAGGATTTGCCATTGAAGGAAGCTCATGCAATTGGTGAGACATTGCAAATAAAACTTGAAGAACTACCAGAAGTGGAAAGAGCTTTTGTTCATCTCGATTTCGAGTGCCATCACAAGCCTGAACACTCTGTTCTTTCTACAATCCCCAACGATTTATGAGATTATAAATGTATATCTGCTTG